TATATATATAAAATCCACTGAACAGGTAACAAGTGCTGCCTGTGAGGTAGGGAGCAATCTCAGGGGAAGTGGGTGGGTAAGGGATGAAGAAATGATGGGGACTGGGGACTGGCTACCAGTACTGTGCTTGCCTCACAAGTACTAGGACCTGAGTTCAATCTCCAGAACCCTTGTAAACAAACAAAACAAAAAAACAAAAAACAAAACCCAGGCATTGCAGTGTGTGTTTACAATCCCAAGGCAGGGGTGGCAGAGACAAGCGGATCCCCGGGGCTCATGGACCAGTCAGCCTGTCTAGCTGGCGAGTTCCCAGCCAATGAGAAGCTATCTCTAAACAAATAAATAAAACTAAAAAGATGGATGCCACCTAAGGAGCATACCCAAAGTTGACCTCTGGCCTCCATATGCGCACATGCACATGCATGCACGCACACACAGACATGGACACACACACACATGCACCTTGTATGAGCTGGGGTTTTCTAGAGAAACAGGACCAATAGGATGCACATTTTACATGTTAAAATAGAAGACATTTTATATATCAAATATGTTAAAAAATGTATTTAGTCAGCTTACTCTGAAATGATCCCAGCACCATGAGGCCAGGAATCTGGTAGTTTCTCGGTCCTTGAGGTGCCTCAGCTGTCCCAAGTCAGCACTGAAAATCTGTAGGTTCCTGGAGAATTGAAGGTCCTTAGTCTAACACTGGAAGTCTAAAACTGCTGGTTCTGATATCAGTGAAGGAACGAGCATCATCATCATCGTCGTTATCAGCATCATCATCGTCGTTGTCATCATTATTGCTGTCGTCATTATATCATCATCGTAACCGTCATTGTCAGCAACAGCAGCAGCATCAACCAACTCCGCAGCAAGAGGCAAGGCCAAGCCAGCAAAAGGGAGCAATCTTCCTTTTTCCAAGCCCTTTAATCTGGGCTCCTACCAGTAAGCGCTGAGCACATTTGGGTAGGTTCTTGTACATCAATTAAGACAATGCCTTAGATATGGCTCCCTGCTCAGGTGATTTTAATTTGTGGTAAGTTCACACACATGCGGCACAATAGGGAAGGGAAGCAAGTCTTGTGTTTTCTATGTTGATATTGTAGTAGCCAGGGAGGCACTTGCTCCTCATTTGCCCTTGACCTCTGACCTGGACACACTACCTGGAACGCCTCATAGTTCCCCATAGCTGACTCCCTTCTTACGTGTGGGGTCTGTCTTCGGCCTCTAAGAGGCCCTTCCTGAGCACCTAGGTAAAGCTCTCAGTATAATCCATCCCTTCCCATCGCACCGCTGATTTCCTGTTAGCACTCGTAATTGGCTGAGACCCTCTCATTAAAAAATAAAAATATGTTTAGTTGCTTGTCTTGCTTCAATGGTGGGCAAGCAGAGAAGAGGGAGGGACTGAACCAGATCTATCAGCTAGAGCAAGGAAAACCCGGGCAAGGCTTCACTACTGTGACAACAGCATTCAGTTCAGGCAATGGAACATTCACTCTGACAGGCGTGGCTATCATGTGGCTATCATCGTGACCTGTGGGAGGCAGAGAAGGGACGGGAAGCTCAGAGCAGAGGTCACAGGGAGAGAAGGCAGAAGCAGCTTGGGTTGCGTCATGATGAGGGAACCGATGAGATAGATCTTTCCAAACAGCTCTGTGTGATCCAAAGGCAATGAGACCAAGAGTGGAGAGGGGAAGGGACTTATCTCAGGGTACTAAGTCTCATTAAGATTTCCCCACTCCGGGACAAGGCTCTTTGCTGCATCTCTGCCCCCTCTCCCCCTCAGGGACAAGGTTTTCTCTCTGCATCTCTGCCACCCTCATACCACACCACAGATATGGATGCGAGAGAACAAACCAGCAAAGACCAGGCAGAGCCCAAGTGTGGCCGATTGGAGGGAAGCCTAGACCCTTCTGCATGCAAACCTTGCCACCCTACAGCACTCGAGATGGCCTGATACAGTCTGCACGCCCCACTGCAGAGTGAGGCGGGGGGGGGGGGGGGGGGGGGGGGCAGTGCATCCCTTGGTTGAGTATAACGCTTAGCTCCACAGAAGCAGCCGTCCTAGCTAGCATGAATGGGTGAGCGACTGATGGGACCATGCAAGCTCTGAGTCTTGGCTGCCTTGGCCTTACGTCTCTCCTCAGCAGCAACCACCCACCTGCCCACTCGTTTTGCAGATCTATTTGTTAGTAGGTAGACTGTCCACCTTCCTCTAGAACCTAGAATTTGATTTTAGAATCTGGAATGGAATCGAGGCAAGGGCTATTTAAAATTGCCACCTGCCTTCTCCAGCTCTCCCATCCTCCCAGCATCTTGCCTGTCTGACATAGTCCCCTACTTCTGTTTACAGTCGCTTTCCCGGCAGCCCCGCGACCCGAAGGCTTGTTGCCTTCGCAGCTGTATCTACGTGCAGAGCCTGCATGCAGTAGGCGTTCAGCCTCGTGGTGGCCGGAACGCAGACAGCCCTCCCGGGTGGGCCCCGCGCGCGGCCTGGGCCTGGGCCAGGGCCGGGCACGGAGGGGTTAAGCCGCGCGCGCTTCCGACCCGCAGGTGGCGCCGTCCCGCCTCGGTGCCACTCGCCGCGCTCCGAAGTGCGGGACAGAATCGCAGCGAGCGCAGAGCCGAAGCTCAGCCCGACTTGTTGATCTCGCGCAGGCAGCCGCGGCCGCCGCCGAGCCGAGCCGGAGCCCGAGGTGGAGGCGGAGGCGCCGCCGATCGCCCGGGCCGCGCAGTCTCCGCGCCCCGCAGAGCGCCCCGCCCGCGCCCCGCAGCCCCGGTGCCGGTGCCGCCCGCCCGCCCGCCCGCCCGGCCGGGGTAGGCCCAGCCCGGCCCCGGGACCGCCGCTGCCGCGGGCGGGGGCGCGGGCGGCCGGCGAGATGCGCGCAGCGCGGCCCCGGGAGGCGGCCGCCCTGGGGGTGAGTGTGGCGGGGGCGGCGCGGGCCCACCCCGGGGCGGGGGGCGGGGCGTGCGCCCGGCGTGCTGTGGGCCCCGGGAACCCCCCGAAATCACCGGTGCGTGGCGGGAGGAGGGCACGCTCCGAAAGGCCAGAAGATTCCGCTGGTTTCCCCGCCTCCCACCTCCCCCACCCCTTCCCTCCCGAGCCCGGGCAAAGGCGCAGAACCCGGAGTTATAAAAAGCCATAGCCGGGAGGAGCGAGGAGGAGGAGGAGGAACGGGAGGAGGGGGAGGAGGAGAAAGAAGGGGGAGGGGGCGGGAGGGGAGCATCGAGCAGGCGGATCCGGAGGACTCCGCACCCTCCTGCGCTAAGGTGGGGGGCACACAGGGAGGTGCAGACCCCGCTGGCTTGGTTCCTTCGACCCTCACTTAGTCTCGGGAGCGACCTCAGGTTCTGATGTTGTAAGGAGTGGGGTCGCCCCAGGTCAGGGTTGCCTGGTGACCTCCGACAGGTGGGCATCTGTTTAGACTCCACAATCCCCACTCGACCCAAAATCTTTTAAGATTTAGAAAAAGCAAGCCCAATGCCATCGTTATGCTCCCACCCCAAATCCTGACTATCTTGGGTGGGAGGAGATGAGAACTCACTAAAAAGAGAAAGAAAGTTCTCCCTGCCTCTTCCTGCCTCCCCATTGCGGGGCCAGGTTGGGCATTACATCCCAAGACCCGCAGAGTGGGGAGTTTCAGCACTCGACGGGGCGGACAGCGCCCCGGGCGGCCGGATTGCGCCAGGGCGGGGGCGGGGCTTCCTGGGCGCCTCCTGGGGGCCTCTCCCACCGGGAGAGCCACCCCTCCTTCCGTCCAGGGGTGGGGCTGACTTCAGCACCGGCGGGAGGGACAGCGGCCATCAGTCCCCCCCACACACCCCCCTCTGAGCCGCTTAAGCCTCGGGAAGGTCAAGGCCGGTGGGGACCCTGGGGGAGGATCCTCGCAGGGTGTTCGCTGACCTGCGTCCGCTTTCGCTTTCCGCCTCGCAGCCGTCGGGATGGAGGTGAGACGGCAGCCGTGACGCCCGCCCTCGTACCCCTGCACCGCAGCGGCCCGCAGCGCTCCCCGCCCCCCGCCCCCGTGGCAGCGGGCCTTGCCGTCGAGTGACAGCGGCCTGGGGGGGCAGGGGGGGCGGGGACGGCCGGACCAGCGATGCCGGCGGGCATGACGAAGCATGGCTCGCGCTCCACCAGCTCGCTGCCGCCCGAGCCCATGGAGATCGTACGCAGCAAGGCGTGCTCACGCCGGGTGCGCCTCAATGTCGGGGGACTGGCGCACGAGGTGCTCTGGCGCACTCTGGACCGCCTGCCCCGCACGCGGCTGGGCAAGCTCCGGGACTGCAACACGCACGACTCTCTGCTTCAGGTGTGCGACGACTACAGCCTTGAGGACAATGAGTACTTCTTCGACCGCCACCCGGGCGCCTTTACCTCCATTCTCAATTTCTACCGCACGGGCCGCCTACACATGATGGAGGAGATGTGCGCGCTGAGCTTCAGCCAGGAGCTGGACTACTGGGGCATCGATGAGATCTACCTGGAGTCCTGCTGTCAGGCCCGCTACCACCAGAAGAAGGAGCAGATGAACGAGGAGCTGAAGCGCGAGGCCGAGACTCTGCGGGAGCGGGAGGGCGAGGAGTTCGACAACACGTGCTGCGCCGAGAAGAGGAAGAAACTCTGGGACCTGCTGGAGAAGCCCAATTCATCGGTGGCCGCCAAGGTGAGTCTGGGATCTGCTTCCCTCCTGGAGGCCTACGCCGCGGCTCCCGGCTCCTCACGATGAGAACTAGTAAAAGGCAGGGACTCCAAGCAAGTTCTCCAAGGGCCAACACTCTTGTACCCTTCCCATGTGTCATAAGACACCCCCCTTGGATGATTCAGTGCTGTGTACCCCCACTTTGTTGGATGGAGATGGGTTTATAAGACTCTAAAATTCTACAACTGCAGTGAGAACAGGCTGGCTTTGCTGAGTACAGTCTGGTGTCCTGCCCTCTAGGCCCTAAATCCAGGCCAGAGCAGCCAGCCCTGCTCTGGTATTCAGCCGTACTATAACCCCACTCCGCACCAAGGAAGGATATAAATGCAACCCACAGGCATGCTTGGTGGAGGCTGAGGCACACGTGGGTATTTTAAGAGATGACAGAAGACAGGGGAAGGCTAGTGGCAAGGACAGGCCTGCCCAAAGGCTCAGACTATGTGTGAGTGGCCCTTCCTGGTTCCTTGTTTATGGACTTGCATTGTGGTGCAGTTTTGGTGGCTGTTGGAGGAGGATGTGGATTTCCGAATCAAAGCAGAGTAGAAGCCTAGAGAACGAGGCAGGAGTGAATGAGATCAGTCAGAGTGGGCTGTGGGGCAAAGTGGAAGCCTTGGGGGACCAGGAGGGGCTTGGGGTGAGGAGCTGGGCAGGTGCGATTCCTCTGAGTCAGGCTGGCACCAGGGAGTGTCTGGAGGGTGAGGGCTGCCTCACGTGGCCTGCGTGTTGGGTGCCAGGAGTAAATGACAGCGCAGTGTGTTCATGGCTGCAAGGGAGCTTGGGAAGGGGCCCAGAAAAGCGATGTGTGGGAATCCAGGAGATCAAGTTCGGAAAGAGACTAGAATGTCTCTGAGAGCAGAGCCCAGGAAAGACCACCAGAGGCAAGCGACTGAGACTGTCTGTTCGGCCAGCCATAGTTTAGTAGCAAGGCCTGGCTCTTGGCCAGCCTGGCCTCTCAGTGTGGAGTCTTGGTGGCCCAGCTGGCCACCCCCTAACTGGTCCCTTCTCTGAGGGAACTCTGGGGTTATTTGCAGAGAACTGACTTGCTCAAGAAGGCTGCAGTAGACACAGGAAGGGCTGTCTGCTGGGATGAGAGGAAGCGCCCACAGTCATTTTCTCTCCCCACTGGGCTCTGAGGATGTAGAGGCCCCTGGGCCTGGTCTGCCTCCTGGAAGATTCTGACCATAATCCTCCCCCAGTTTCCGTGTCCAGAAAGCCTCCCTCTAAGATGGAAGCCTTAGCCGGCTTAGGATCAACAGACTTACTTTGCTATTTCTAGGCCTGACACAGGTTCCCCCACTGCTCAGCCCATTGAGGCCCCGGGCAGGCCCCTCCTTCTGTCCTTAAGACCCTAGATCCAGGGACAGGAAGTGGGGATTTGCGCTCCCCAAGAAGAAACAGGCAAAGGACCGTGTTTGAACTGGCCTCTGGCTGCAGGGCACAGGCAGAAGTCTCGCAAGAGGCTGTATGTGGGAATGAGCGGTCTCTCCTCTTTCTCCGCTTGGTCGGCTCACCCGGACAGCATCACGACCTCACTGTGATCCCAGGCTGGGCTGTCAGCTCACACTCTGGCAGTTTCTGCAGCCAGAGCTGAAACAAGAAGGTTCACTGGCTGTCAGTATGGAAACTCTGATAGCCACGGATCCAATACCTAACAAATACAAGGCTCAGAGAGGTGAAGTAATTTGCCTAAGGTCACAAAGTAGCCTAGAAGGTCTAGAAGTAGCCAGAAACGTTCCCCCTAGTGACACTTGGAACACCCTGTTCTTTCTGTGGGGACTGGGGGCCACAAATGCCTCCCTGGAGCCTTCTCTCACTTTGCTTCCCCAGCAGCCCAAGGTGCAAGTCAGATTGCATTATTCATCTCTTGTAACCCACGGAGGTTTCTGCCACATTCAGCATGAAATCCCTGTGCCGCCATGCGCCTGAGGTCTAGATTCTGGCCCTTTGAGCTCTTTGGGCTCACCTCCCTGTTCTCTTCTGGTTTGTGTAGTCCCAGTCCCGCTAACTTCCTTATGGTCTGTTCTGCCCCAGGACCTTTCGCACTTACTTTTCTGGCTGCTGACATTGCCCGGATCGTTCCACGGGCCCCTTCTCTCCACGTCCGCGTTTGCTATGGTCCCTACCCCACTGTTTTCCCCAGGAGACCTCCCTGACTCTTGTCGCCTTCCTGTACTCATGCAGTATCTTTCCTGCGTGAGCTTTAAATACTATTTGAAATGGTATTTGGTCCACATGTTTCTGTTTTACACCCATAAGGATGTATCATACACACTGCTGCGTTCCCAGCATGCATCACTGTGCCTGGTTCAGAGAGCTTCAGGGTGTGTGTGTGTGGATGGATGGATGGATGGATGGATGGATGGATGGATGGATGGATGGATTGGTGGGCGGATGAATCGATGAATTGGTGGGTGTATGGATGGGTGTATGGGTTGGTAGATGGATGGGTCAGTGAATGGGTGGCTAGATGGACGGATGGCTGGGTGGATGAGTGGATAATGGATGGATTGGTGGGTAGATAGGTAGATGGATGTGTGGACTGGTGGACAGGTGGATGGTGAGCAGATGGATGGGTATGTGAGTGGGTGGGTAGATGATGGATGGGTGGATGGATTTATAGATTAGTGGATGGATAGATTGGTGAATGGAGAGGTGGATGGATGGATTGGTGGATGGATGGGTGGATATATCAAACAAGCAGTCAGGCACTTCTTTCTTACGGCCTTCCTGTGGCTCAGTTTCCAGCATCTCTGCTCTATCACCTGCACCTGGCCTGCTCCATCTGACAAGCTCCAGAGCCAAGCCTGTCAGCACAACGAGGCTTGGGGAAGGGGGACCCTCAGAAAACACACAGGCTGAGGGCCAAATGTGGGATCATTTCAAGGTGTCTGTGAGGTGCACAAATGGACACCTCTCCCATAGTCCAGAGAAAGGACCGACCCGGGCTGTAGGACCAACTGAGTCCTCGCTGCTCTCTGGCCTGAAGCTATTCGTATCCCCCACTTCCCTGCCTCCCGTCCGTGAGATGAAGATTGAAGGCCACTTTGCAGTGAAGTTGTGTTTGTGACAACTTAGCTTAGTGCTCAGCACTAGTGGGAAGGCGCTGTTGTTATCCGTGCTGAGTTGCTGTGTCCTTTCTCTGGGCAGGCTGGGCAGCAATCACTTTCCTCCTGATAGCGTCCTGGGGAGACTGAGCCGATGCGGTGAATAATTGATGGGCTGCCAAGTAAGGGACCCGGATGTTCCATCGTGGGAATGAAGAGCAACCCTTTAGGCTGTTTGGGAGGTAGGGTCAGCCCTGTCAGGGAGGAGGCACTGGCATGGCCTCCTCTGAGGCTCTGCTCTCCTGGAACAGTCTCAGGCTTCTCAGTGGGGTGTGAGGCGAGCTAATGTGTGAGGCCAGAGTCTCTGGATTAAAGCTCCAAGACAGCTTCCAAATTGCCAGAGTGTTTATTGCACTGGGCACAGATCAGTGGTCTCTCTAGCTGGTGTGATCCAGACATTGCTTCTGCATCCTTCCTGGGCAGTGGGGTGCCCACTAGGGCTTCTCGGGGTTGTAAGTGACAAAGCAGAAAACTCAAAGCAGCTTCAGTAAGGAGGAAGATGTGTCACGGCACGGTGTCTCTTGTCATTCCGGGACAGCAGAGGTTTGGGTTGAGTTGATGGTTTGGTAATCCTGCCAGGATTCTAGATTGTGTGTGGGCATGTGCGTGTATGTGTGTGTGTGTGTGTGTGTTTAATTACATTTATTTGCTGCTTTGTATGTGGGTGAGAGCATGTATGGAGGCCAGTTGCCGGTGTGGGGCGGGAGTGTCAGTTCTTTTCTTCCACCGTGTGACTCAGGCTTGGTGCAAAGGGTCCTTACCTGCTGAGCCATCTTGCTGGCTCTAAATGTTGTTGTTTTGAACTATGTGTACTTAGTTACATTTATTTATTTATTTATTTATTTATTTATTTATTTATTTATTTAGTGTGTGTGTGTGTGTAGTATTGTTGTGGAGGGAACCACTGTGGGCGGTGAGCGTTGGTACTCTCCTACTACCATGTGGGTCCTGGGATTTGAACTCTGGTCATCGGGCCTGGTGGCAAGTGAGGTCCTCCACTGCGCCAGGATTCAAGATTCTGTCCATCTCTCTGCTTCTCTAGACCCTGAAAAGGACTTGGAACTTATGCTTGATGCCTCGTGTCAAAAGGCGACCGTTAGGTCCCAGCCCTCAAATGTAGGCATGGTAGTGTCTACCCTGCAAAGAGGAGGATTTCCTCCTGTGCTCCACATTCTGCTCAATTGTGTTTTCCTTTGAGGACAGCCTCTCCCAGGAGTCCCCTAGCAGATGGTTTTGATGGTGTTGGCCATTGGTCGTATACTTATATTTTAGGGTAAGGGAATCTGGGAAAGCAAGTGGCTGGGGTTTTCAGATGGTTCAGGGCATGTGTTTGACAAGTGAAAACAAGATTTTCCCAGTAGAGGAAACAGACTCCCTGGAGTGACTTGCTTCACCTAAGCCTAGGCTAAAAGGATTGGTAACCATGTGTTAAAGGAGTGGAAATGGTAGAGTTGTGTCTTAATTGCTGTAGCTAATTTTAAAAGAAAGCATTTAATTTGGGGTTTGTTTACAACTTCAGAAGGTTAGGCCGTGACCATCGTAGCAGGGAGCGTGACAGCAGACAGGCATAGCTGAGATCTGCGGGCAGATTGGCCTTGGCCTGAGCATTGGAAACCTCCAATCCCTCCTCCAAGAAGGCCACGCCTCCTAATCCTTCCCAAATACTTCCTCCAACTGGGGACCAAGCATTTGAATGTTTGAGCCAATGTTTGAATGAGTGGCGGGGGGCACACTCATTCAAAGGACATCAAGGTCTAGAGCTAGATTCGTCTCGAGCTTGGATGGACCAGTTACACCATCTGAGTGGGTTTGTCTACCCAATGGGGACAGTGGCCACACCCACCCTCGGGGATATTCTAA